ATAACATTGCAGCTAACGATTATAGAAATAAAGCCATCTGTGACCATAGAAAGCTCCGTGAAAGCAAAACTATAGACTATAGCACTCAGCTGAGAAAGACTAGTTTTTAAGCAGTGTATTTAGATATGTCAGCATGTTATTAGACACACACTTGAGCCTATTGCTCATTTCACTGCTGTGTTTTTCAATTCAAAGAAGGATTTTTATTCTTTATGGAAACAAATGTTATCAAAATCACAAGGCATCTTCTCTAGTTCTATCTAAGGTTATATAAACACACATTTATGAGTTAATACATATTTTTTATCCTTACTGAGATTCTTAAGTTGGTTTCCAAGAAAAAATAGCAGAGGATTCTAGATCTTCTCTAGAGATTTAGTACTCTCTCTCCTCTAACCTAGAACACTCAGCTTTTCATTCTGATACCAAGTTGATTAGATCCTCCAGTTTTACACACACACACACACACACACACACACACACAGAGCTTTTAATTCTGATACCAAGTTGATTAGATCCTCCAGTTTTATATACACACACAATATTGATTAAAGAACTATTATGTGTTCTGTATGTCCTCTGTCCTCAAAGAGCTCATGGTCTAGGAAAAAGAGACATAAACACTACTATAAAATACATGAAAAACATATTTTAAAAGTCCCTTACTCTAGGGAGAAAAATATGTATTTTTGCATTTATACTTCCAGAAAAAGAATGGCCGTTTCAGACAACTTGACCCAAAAGGAAACCCGGATTCTGCTCATCCCCCTGTCTTCCCCTCTTAGTAAATGACACTATCATTCAATCAGTTGCTCAAGCCAAAACTTCTGCTCATTCTTAATTCCTCCCTTCTATTAATGTCCATTTCTGCCCCTTTCTCCCTGCCCTAAATCCAATCTATCAGCAGGTACTGCCAGTTCTGGCCCAAAATGCATTTACTAGCCAACTGGTCCTTGCCTTTTTGACAGCTACCAACACTGCTCTAAGCACCATCATCTCTCACTTAGACTACTGCAATAATTCCAGAAAGGACACTTGGCTTCCATTTCTGCTCCATGGCAATCTATTCCTTGCATAGCAGCCAGAGAGCTCTTTTAAAAGTGCAGATCAGCTTCTGTTTCAGCCATAATGGAGTAACAGGGTCTAGATTTATCCTCCCCCCACTATGGATTGAATTGTGTCCCCCAAAAATGTGCATCAGCTTGGCTAGGCCATGATTCCCAGTATTGTGTGGTTGTCCACTATTTTGTCATCTGATGTGATTTTCCTATGTGTTGTAAATCTTACCTCTATGATGTTAATGAGGTAGGACTCAGTCTATAAGATTAGGTTGTATCTTGAGTCAATCTCTTTTGAGATATAAAAGACAGAAGCAAGCAGAGAGTCATGGGGGACCTCATACCACCAAGAAAGTAGTGCCAGGAGCAGAGCACATCCTTTTGACCCGGGGTCCCTGTGCTGAGAAGCTCCTAGACCAGGGGAAGACTGATGACAAGGACCTTCTTCCAGAGCTAACAGAAAGAGAAAGCCTTCCCCTGGAGTTGTCACCCTGAATTTGGACTTCTAGCCTACTAGACTGTGAGAGAATAAATTTCTCTTTGTTAAAGCCATCCACTTGTGGTATTTCTGTTATAGTAGCAGTAGATAACTAAGACACCCTCCCCCAACTGGAAAATTGGATAAAGTATGTTAAACAACTGTTTTCAGATATTAGATGACTGGCAGCACAGCATTATTATCCTTGAGAGAAAGGAAACAACAAGGTGGGCCATTGATTGCCCCAGGTCACTGCCTGAGGCAGTTTTCAGTCTTCAGAGCATGGAGCAAGAATTCAAACAGAGCCCAGTTAAAGGTGTATATTGTAAATCCTAGAAGAATTACTGAAAACAATAACATATAAGAAAAGAGAAGATAAAATGCTGTTAGGTGTCATCGAGTTAGTTCTGACTCATAGCGCCCTGTGTACAACAAAGAAACAATGCCTGGTCCTGTGCCATCCTCACATTGCTATGTTTGAGTCCATCATTGCAGCCACTGTGTCAATCCATCTCATTGAGGGTCTTCCTCATTTTTGCTGACCCTCTACTTTTCCAAGCATGATGTCCTTCTCAGTTATCAGACTGGTCTTTCCTGATAACATGTCCAAAGTATGTGAGACGAAGTATCACCATTCTTGCTCTTAAGGAGCATTCTGACTGTACTTCTTCCAAGACTGATTTGTTCGTTCTTCTGGCAGTCCATGGTGTATTCAATATTCTTCATCAACACCATAATGGAAACCCTGGTGGCATAGTGGTTCAGAGCTACGGCTGCTAACCAAAAGGTGGGCAGTTCGAATCCACCAGGTGCTCCTTGGAAACCCTATAAGGCAGTTCTACTCTGTCTATAGGGTCACTATGAGTTGGAATTGACTCGACAGCAATGATTTTTTTTTTTTAAACACCATAATTCAAAGGCATCAATTCTTCTTCTGTGTTCTTTATTCATTGTCCAGCTTTCGCATGCATATAAGCCAATTGAAAACACTATGGCTTGGGTCAGGCAAACCTTAGTCCTTAAAGTGATTATCTTTGCTTTTTAACACTTTAAAGATCTCTTTTGCAGCAGATTTTCCCAGTGCAATGTGTTGTTTGATTTCTTGGCTGCTGCTTCCATGGGCATTGATTGTGGATCCCAGTAAAATAAAATCCTTGACAACTTCAATCTTCTCTCCTTTTATCATGATGTTGCTTATTGGTCCAGTTGTGAGAATTTTTTTTTTCCGTATGTTGAGGTGTAATTCATACTGAAGGCTGTAGTTTTTTGGTTTTTTTTTATTATTATTTTTTATTGTATTTCAGGTGAAGGCTTACAGAACAAATAGTTTCTCATGAAACAGTAGTACACATATTGTTTTATGACATTGATTAACAACCCCACAACATGTCAACCCTCTAACTTCTCAACCTTTTTTTTGGTGAAAATACACATAGCCAAAGAGACACCATTTCAAAAATTTCTACATGCATAGTTCAGTGACATTGACTACGCTCTTCCAGTTGTGCTGTTATTCTCACTTAAGATGAAGGCTTACAGAACAAAAAGTTTCTCATTTAACAGTTACTACAAATGTTGCCCTATGACAATGGTTAACAATCTCACAACACATCAACAATATCCTTACTCAACCTTGGGTTCCCTATCACCAGCTTCATTGTCCCCTTCTTCCTTCTGGCCCTTGCCACTGGACTACTGTACCTCATTAGTCTCATTTGGTTTTATGGGGCTGTCCACTCCGAGGCTGAATGGTGAACCTCAGAGATAATTTCACCACTGAGATAAAAAGGTGTCTGGGGGCCATACTCTTGGGATTTCTCCAGTCTCATTTAGGCCAGTAAATCTGCTGTTTTTTTTTGTGAGTTAGAATTATGTTCTGCATCCTTCTCCAGCTCTGTCCAGAACCCTCTGTTGTGTGAAGGCTGTGGTTCTTGATCTTCATCAGTAAGTGCTTCAAGTCCTCTTCACTTTCAGCTAGCAAGGTTGTGTCATCTGTATACTGCAGATTGTTATGAGTCTTCCTCCAATCTTGATGCCATGCTCTTCTTCATATAGTCCACCTTCTCAAATTATGTGGTTAGCATACAGATTGAATAAGTATGGTGAAAGGATACAACCCTGATGCACACCTTCCTTGACTTTAAACCATGCGGTATCTCCTTGTTTTATTTGAAACACTGCCTCTTGGTCTATGTACAGGTTCCTCATGGAGCAAAGGTAGTTCTTGGCAAAACGTAGTGGCTCAGTTGCTAAAATTTCACTGGTGGTGAATTGGGAAAATGTTTCAGTGGAGAGCAATATTGTGAAAGGTAAGATGACACAGCCATTTGAAAAATCTGCGGAAACAGTGCCTACGAAGACAGTGGAGGTGGCTGAATTATACTGATGTCCTACAGAAGGATAATGAGAGATTGAGGACTGTTAACAAATATTTAGTAGCTCAGGGGACAAGCCAACAGAGCCTCAGGGGTAGCTTACAAAGAGGCCCTTATTTCTGCAATGGAAGGGCAGGCACAGCTGAATGGCAGGCTGACCACCTAATTGTTAGGGTAGCAGAGCTCCAGAGATATTTGAATGTCCAGCCAAGCCAGGTCTGTTATGCAAGTTCAGGGCACCGGTGGGGAAAACCTGTGATCTTGAACTATGGGATGGGGAGAAGGGAGAGGATAAGTACCAGTTGTGGACCTGAGAGCAACTGCAGCAACAGAGGCTATATTTTATACACTAACTTCCCTCAGGAAGGAAGGTCTACAGGAACCATGAAGGAGCTGCTCCCTGAACCTGTATGGAAAAGAGAATTTGTGAAATGAAAGGGGTGGACTGCCAGCAGCCATGAGAATACAGCTCTCACATCTCCAGGTTCAGAGAGAGTAGTTGCTCAACGGCTTCTGCTACTGTGCTCTGAAATCTATTACTGCATTTGTGCCAAGGGTACACTTTCCATTAATGAGCATGGCAGGGAACTGAGGCAAGCCTCTTCCTGGGAGACACAGGGGTCCTTTGATGCCTGACTTTGGCTCAAGAACTCTCCAATGGCCTTGCTGAACTTTCTTTAGACTGCATCGTAATGTACGACACTTCCATCCAATCGTCCTCTCTCTCCTTTACTTGGATACAGTCTTTCATCACAATCTGATGGCTTTCCCAGACTTCTCCAGCTCCCTCCCTGTCTTCTCTCACAAGTATCTTCACTAATAAAATCCTTGTGAGTTTAATCCCTTCTTGGTGTCTGCTTCTCAGAAAATCCAGATTAACACACTGAACCTTTCTTCTGCTGTGTCCAAACCAAAAACACCAAACCTGTTGTCATCAAGTCTACTCCGACTCATAATGACCCTATAGGACAGAGTAGAACTGCTCCACAGGGTTTCCAAGGACCGGCTCGTGGATTCAAACTGCCAACCTTTTGGTTAGCAGCCGAGCTCTTATCCACTATGCCACCAGAGCTCCAAAAATCTGAGTTGTGTCCCTAGGGGGACTCGAACCACCAACCTTTTGGTTAACAGCCAAACGCGCTAGCCAATTGCACTACAGAGACTGCCTGCTATGTCCAGGCACTGTTAAATCCATCCAGTAAATGTTGTTATATCAGAAATTGTACCTTTTGAGTTAATTGAATATATGTTTAGCTCTTTTTTTATGGTTTCCATTTCTCTGTTGATTGATATTCCCCATCTATTATTTAGTCATTTCTCCAGTACCTTTCATCAGTTCCCTGGCAGAAGAAAAAAGTCCAGTTTATTATTTAGACAAGTAAGCTTTTTATCTAAAATACAGCTGGAATGGGGTAAAAGTGTCAAATGTTCTTGACTTTGAGAACTTTATGATATTTGAATCTTTTTCTTATTAAATATAAGTCACATCTCATCTTAATTGACGGGAAATTCATGCCACAATGTTTTAGAAAGGATGCTATCTTATCTGGGATAAAAAAGTGTCAAGCAATTGCACTACGGATATGTAAGATCATTAGGGGAAGCTGAGTGAAAGATACATGGGAACTGCCTGAACTATCTGTGAAGCTTCTCTCTAATGCTAGAATTATTTAAAACTAAAATGTTAAAAAAAATTTTCAAGTATCGAGTGGTCTCCCTTTCAAGATATAAAAAGCACAAACTTGCTTCAAAACCACTTTAGAGATTTGGTTTAGTGTATTCTATTCATTTAGTGAATAAGAAAATTAAATCAGTGGCCATCAACTACCTTTTTATCTGCCTTGTATTCCTTCCATTTCAGAACTATTCAATCAGTAAACAACTAAATTACATCAGTGGACTTTGACTACCTTTTTATTTGCCTTGTATTCCTTCCCCAACTCCATGTGATTCTGATAGGGCTGTCAAATCATATAAGGCTTTATCTTTATTGCTGTGGGGTGTGCCATAATCCAGGGCAACTAATCAGAATATATCATCCTTCTGAACACAGTGATAGGTTCAGCTGATATCCATGTGATCAAAGTCAAACCATCAGAGTTCTTTTGGGGAGGTCAGAAATGGACAGTAGGGAAAACAGGGACTTGCTTCTTTGTTGTCATTAGTTTTACTTTCAAATTAATCCTAGAATATTTTCTTTGCATTTGTGTGGATAGTTGCCTGAGAATGAAGTCAACATAGAGTAAAGCCGTGAGTTGGAATCGACTCCACGGCAACTGGCAACTAGCAACAACAATAGAGTTGGAGGGAGACCACCGATGCCATGCCTGGAGCCAGCGCCTCCCCTTAGACTTCAGGTTACATGAACAACGAGGTCTTTTATTCATGCTAGTTCAGGTAAAGTTGCTATTCTTTGTTGAAGGAGTCCTGATTAGTATAGCTAATAAATAGAAGATGTTTTCATTTGATATAATAGTATTCTTATAGATATACTTCAAAAGGCAACTTCCGAAATAGTAATCCTTTCCAGTGAATTTTAATTTGAGATTGAAGGAATTGTTTTCTTTCTATCATATCTTGGACAAATCCAACCTCAAATTCTTCTTCACTAAGCATTAGCATATTAACTGGTCTTCCTTGTAGGTGTATAGCTATTAACCTATCACTGAAATGATTCAACTATTTCAGAACGTTGATCAATGGTACTGAAGGAAGAATTCCAAGCTGCACTGAAGGCATTGGCAGCAGAAACACAAGCTTCCAGGAATTGATGGAATATCAGTTGAGATGTTTCAACAAATGGATGCAACGCTGGAAGCGCTAACTCATCTATGCCAAGAAATTTGGAAGACAGCTACCTGGCCAACTGACTGGAAGAGATTCATATACATACCCACTGCAAAGATGATCCAACAGAATGTGGAAATTATTGAACGATATCATTAATATCACTCACTGCTGTTGAGTCGATTTTGACTCATAGTGACCCCATAGGGTTTCCAAGGCTGTAAATCTCTACGGAAGCAGATTGCCACATCTTTCTCCTGCAGAGCAGCTAGTGGTTTTGAACTGCTGACCTTTTGGTTAGCAGTCAAGTGCTTTAACCACTGCACCACTGGTAAAATTATGCTGAAGATAATTCAAAAACTATTATAGCAGTACATTGACAGGGAATTGCCAGAAATTCAAAATGGATTTAGAAGAGGACATGAAATGAGGGATATCATTGCTGATGTCAGGTGGATCTTGGCTGAAAGCAGAAATACAAGAAAGATGTTTACCTGTGTTTTATTGACTACACAAAGGCATTTGACTGTGTGGATCATAACAAATTATGGATAACATTTTGAAGAATGGGAATTCCAGAACACTTAATTGTGCTCATGAGGAACCTGTACATAGATCAAGAGGCAGTTGTTTTAACAGAACAAGGGTATATGGCATGGTTTAAAGTCAGGAAAGGTGTGCATCAGGGTTGTACGTTCTCACCATACTTATTCAATCTATATGCTGAGCAAATAATCCAAGAAGCTGGACTATATGAAGAAGAATGGGGCATCAGAATTGGAGGAAGACTCATTAACAACCTGTGATATGCAGGTGACGCAATCTTCCTTGCTGAAAGTGAAGAGGACTTGAAGCACTTACTGATGAAGATCAAAGGCTACAACCTTCAGAATGGATTACACCTTAACAGAAAGAAAAAAAAATCCTCACAACGGGACCAGTAAATAACATCATGATAAACAGATAAAAGTTGTGAAAGATTTCATTCACTTGGATCCACAATCAACGCCCATGGAAGCAGCAGTCAAGAAATCAAAGACGTATTGCACTGGGCAAATCTGCTTCAAAAGATCCATGTAAGTGTTAAAAAGCAAAGATGTCACTTTGAGGACTAAGGTGCCTCTGACCCAAGCCATGGTGTTTTCAATTGCCTCATATGCATTTGAAAGCTGGACAATGACTAAAGAAGGCAGAAGAAGAATTGATGCCTTTGAATTATGGTGTTGGCAAAGAATGTTGAATATGCCATGGACTGCCAAAAATAAAAACAAATCTATCTTAGAAGAAGGACAGCCAGAATGCTCCTTAGAAGCAAGGATGGAGAGATTTCATCTCATGTACTTTGGACATGTTATCAGGAGGGACCAGTCCCTAGAGAAGGACATCATGCTTGATAAAGTACAGGGTCAGCAAAAAAGAGGAAGACCCTCAATAAGATGGTTTGACACTGTGGCTGCAACAATGGGCTCAAACATAGCAATGGTTGTGAGGGTGGTGCAGGACCAGGCAGTGTTTCATTCTGTTGTACATAGTGTTGCTATGAGTCAAAACTGACTCGACACCATCTAACAACAACAGCAAAACATAAGCAATGTCTTTTCTATTAGTGCCCCTATTCTGTACTATGTACTCTTCCTGGGTAATCTTATCCACCCTCAATGTTTCAGCAACCACCTAAATGCTGATGAAAAGTAAGTTCACAATGTCAGCTTATTCCTCTCTCCAATGCTTCAGAAACTAGACGTCAACATGTCACTATTTCCTACACACCTCACACTTAATTTGTCAAAATGGAATTAATCATCTTTCCCACTAACCTTACTCTTTTTATTATAATTTAAAAATATTAATTGATGAAAATGTTAACTACCCAACCTCTAAGAGAAGGTGACATCCTTACTTTCTTCGCCTTCTATATCCAATCAACCATGAAGCCCAGTTATTGATTGTCTACCAATTATTTATTAAATCCATCTTCTCTTCTTCTCTACTATGACATTCCAATACAATAACATCCTAATTTTAGTCTCAACTCCCTCACATACATCCTTTACATGCTGCCAGGGCTCTATCTGAATTTCAAGACTGTTTCTTCAGTGGCTTCTCATTACATAGAGAGTGCAAGTCTCCTTGGTCTCAGCTTTGCCTCCATACCAGACGCTTGCTGCCCCTGCTTTACACCCATGCATTTGTACTTGTCTAACAATATCATGCTGTTCCTTGATAGTACCTTGACTCATGTTACTGTTTACTTTGACTTCAATGTTCTTCCCATCCTTGCGCCTGTGACTTTTTTTCCTTCTTTACAAGTCCACTCAGGAGGTAGCTACTTCAAGATGTGACTCCTGAATCTCTGAAACCAGATTAGGGGCCCCTTGTCTGAGCTCTCCTCCACATGTCTGTCAGTTTGTCATACTGTGGCAGCTTGCGTGTTGCTGTGATGCTGAAAGTTATGCCACCAGTATATCAAATACTAGCAGGGTCACCCATGGTGGACAGGTTTCAGCTGAGCTTCCAGACTAAAATAGACTAGGAAGAAGGACCTGGCAGTCTACTTTTGAAAAAAATTAGTCAGTAAAAAACTTACGAATAGTAGTGGAACATTGTCTGATATAGTGCCGAAAGATGAGCCCCTAAGATTGGAAGGCACTCAAAATACAACTGGGGGAGAGCTGCCTCCTCAAAGTAGAGACCACCTTAATGACCTGGATGGAGTCAAGCTTTCGGGACCTTCACCCACTGATGTGGCATGACTCAAAATGAGAAGAAACAGCTGCAAATGCCATTAATAATAGGAATGTGGAACATACGAAGTATGAATCTAGGAAAACTGGAAATTGTCAAAAATTAAATGAAACCCATAAGCATTGATATCCTAGGCATTAGTGAGCTGAAATGGATGGGTATTGGCCGTTCTGAATTAGACAATCACATAGTCTACTATGCCAGGAATGACAAATTGCAGAGGAATGGCATTGCATTAATTGTCAAAAAGAACATTTCAAGATCTCTCCTGAAGTACAACGGTGTCCACGATAGGAAAATATCTATATACCTACAAGGATGACCAGCTAATAATACTATTATTCAAATTTACATACCAATCACTAAGGCCAAAGATGAAGAAACTGAAGATTTTTTTTACCAACTTCTGCACTCTGAAATTGATCAAACATGCAATCAGGATGCATTGATAATTACTGGTGATTGGAATGCGAAAGTTGGAAACAAAGCAGAATGATCAGTAGTTGGAAAATATGGCCTTGGTGATAGAAATGATGCCAGAGATCGCATGACATAATTTTGCAAGACTAGCAACTTCTTCATTGCCAACACCTTTTTTCAACAACGTAAATGGTGACTATACACATGACCT